TTAAATCAATTCATTCTTAATTCTCATTAATAAGTATTTCCATGTGCATCTCAGGGGATACTAGAATTTTACTGAAGCATATGTGATTGTTCACCAGTAATCATATGGGTTTTATGGTTAAGACCATACATCAGATTGAGGTGATTGCTTCTGTAGAAAAAAATCCTGATTTAGTTCTCAAAACTGCAGAATACACTCAAGATATAAATAGTAAAATTAGCAATTTATATTGCTCTAGAACACAGTCACCAACAGCGAAGACAAGCCTTGCTTCAGGAAAGACTAATTTCAAGGCAAACTGGTTGCGAGGACAACATTTGTTCTAACTAGGCTTTTTTTTTTTTGTCAGTTGATATATATGCTGGGGAGTCTGACATGAGCATCACTCCTGATTGGTCTGTGATAACTCTGTTCTCTACAGTGCACTGAGTGACCCTTGTAACAGCCTAAACAGGGTAATCATGGGACAGAAAGTTCAGGGAGAAGGAGAGTTTGAGGAAACTCTAGAAAAACCTGGCCTTGACACCCTCCCCCCCCCTTTTTTGGTTGATTTTATTGAAATCACCGTGGTTTGCATGATAAAGAAAAAAAACCACCTTTTCCAATAATAGTCATTTGTAGAGCTTTGAGATGTAGCATCACCTTAGAGCCAAACACTAAGCAGGCAACAGAAATGCTTCTTCCCCCTGCCATTTCCAAAGAAAAGCATCTGTCTTTACAAAGCTGTTACTCAGGTGATGATACACAAAGTTGGATGTAATGAAAACCTTAAACTGCATTTAAGTTCAGAACTGAAAAGAAGGGCAGTGCAAAGTCTTAACTTTCTATTAAAAAAGACAGCAAGCAACAACTTCTTTCTTTATTATGGTTACTTATCCAAAGCAATTGAAAAATTACTTCAGGCTTGTAACTCTTCAGGGTCCCTGCTGGCATGCATCCGCTGCAGTATTTTGACATATATTCCGTGATGTTTAGTAGCAAGGTATAATCCAGTTAGAACCTGTATGAGTACACCCAAACTCATCTTTCTAAAGATAGGCTGAGCAGTCATGAACCAGAAGCGTAATAGATTTTCTTTCCCTGGCAAGGGAGATGAAGAATACCTAAACAACATAAACAGCGGTAGAAAATTACTTTTTTTTCCCCCATCCAATTTAAAGATCAAGATTTAATATTAAAAATCATTAAAAATATTTATTCTCTCCTAAGTTAAAATCACCTGGTGGAACTGAGCTCTCTGGATAAACACTATAAACCCTCCTGACCACATCACCGATGTCTCGCCAAGACTCGCCAACCCCGTGGTGTGCTCTGACCCAATTTGCAGAATGATGCCTGCCAGGGAGCCGGGCTGCTGGGCACTGCCCAGGATCAGTAACGTCTCTCAGCCATCCGGCCAAATGGCACTAAGCACCGATCTTCCCACTTCCCACCTCTACCACTCTGTGACTGTGAAGCACACCGCTGGCTCATGGAGAGCTTGTTGTCCGCCAGGACTCCCAGGTCCTTCTCTGCAGCGCTGCTTCCCAGCAGGTAAGCCCCTGACCTGTACTGGTGCCTGAGGTTATTCCTCCCTGGGTGCAGGACCCTACATTTGTCCTGGTTGAATTTCATTTGGTTCCTCTCCACCCAATTCTCCAGCCTACTCAGGTCTTGCTGAACGGCAGCGCAGCCTTCTGGTGTGTCGGCCACTCCTCCCAGCTTAGTATCATCAGCAAACTTGCTGAGGGGACACTGTCCCCTTGTCCAGGTCATTGATGAGTATGTTGAACAAGACTGGACCAAGCACTGACCCCTGGGGAGCTCCACTAGCTACAGGGCTCCAACTAGACTGTGCGCTGCTTATCCCAACCCCCTGGGCTCTGCCATTCAGCCAGTTCAAGTTCTTCACCGCTTGGCAGGACAGCAGCCAGAATGTCACACGCCCAGGCACATCAGGGGTCCAGCTAAACACAAGTGCTTTACAGTGTATCGGTTTGCCGATCTTGTTTCACTTTGGAGGCTGGGTGTAGCTCTTACCAACTTTGCCTTGTAATTAGATGACCTTAATATAAATCCCCCTCCACGTACTAAAACCCTACAAGAAGACATGCTTGCCTAGACTGAAAACCCACAGAATTCTAAACTGCGAACTGAAGATTTGATCAACAAATACATTTCACTCATTGCAAGTTAGTAAGACGTACCTGGCTGCGAGGCTTGCGTTCATAGGGAGAGCCAGGAAAACAGGATAGAGACCACCCACAACAGCCCCTATTAATCCTCCTCTGACCACAGCGCAGACCTCACAGTTTAGCTCACCTGCACGACAAACAATATTTCACTGTCAATGTCCACGTAGCTCCACCACCATATATGAGCTGCGTGCAACAACACAGAAACAGGCGCTTGACAGAAATGGCCACACTGTACAGGTATGCAAAGAATTTTGAAAGAAGGACTCTTCATTTTTTTTTGGGGGGTGGGGGGGGGCCAGGAGATCACACACACACACAAAAAATCACTCTTATTCCAACCCATGAAGAATTTATCACCCTAAAGTTGACCTTCAAATGAAATTACACAGATGAGGGAACTGAACTGCTTTGTTGCAGTCACTTTTACATGACTTTGAAAAAAACTCAGTGATGTGTAACAGAATTTTTTTTATAAACATACATAAATACACATATCTGTCTTCTTTCCCACTCAACTTCAAGAACTCACTGCTACTCAATGCATTGGATAATCTGTTTTTCAAACCCTGCTTCACAAACTGAAGTTTTCCAAGACCACAACAGTTCAAGACCACTGTTCTGCGGAGAGGAAAAGCTCCTCTAGCGTTACATTGCGAACAGAAAGCAAAGCCCTTTCAAAAACCAGGAATAATGAGGTTTTTACCTGCAAATAAAGGCTCGCGCACAAAGACTTCATACACCGCTGCTGTTGAAAGAAATGGAATAACAGCCATTGGTAAAGCAGACACCAAGGAAGCCCTTCTGACGTGTAGGATGTTCCTGAAGAAGTTATTTGCTGCTAAACCGCATAAACTTGAGTTTGCTGCGAGGAAGTATGATCCATGATTACAGAGATTCCTGTGAAAGACAGAAAGTCGCTTCAGCAATTGAGAACTGTAAAAAAAGTTTGGTTTACTCAATGCTACAATTCACTTCTGAATATCCTACAGAAAGAAGAGATGTAAATCTCTCGCTGGTGCAAAACGGAGAGTAACTACTTTCAAAAGCCGCCAGTACAGCATCCTTCACCTGAGTTTACACACATTTCAATGAAGACACAGAAGGGCTGAGAAGCCTTTTCTACTTTATTTTATTACGGCTAATGGAAACTTAATGAAATTTGCTCTCCTAATCAGCATGTTTCTGAGAATGTTTTCTCAAAAGAAAGTAAATATAAATATACACATACATATATAATCAAAGCTAGTTCCCCTAATCAGCCTTGTTTCTAGCCTGCTCACCTAAAAGTATAGATTTAGTTTCAACACAAGAGTTTACAGAACAGATCAGGCGGGACAGCTACGGCAACTGAGATCTTGCAGTAAGGATCCCGGCAGCTGCTGGCAGATCGTTTGTGGTGATTCTGTAAGGCTGAAGGGCTGAAAGCCTTCCTTGCGTGCCTGGAACACGTGAATTTGAGGTCCCACCTTGCTAGGAGGCTATGCTAGGTAAAGGTTACATACTGCTTTACAGAACCGGAGCTTCTATTTTTCCCTTGGTAACAGAGGGACTGGATTCTGTTATCCACCGTGTTTTTAACACACAGTTTAGAGCAGCTACTCCTGTTGCAATCTACTATGGTGAAAGCAGAACACAACAAAGTCTGGTCAGGAATAGCCAGCAGTTAGTATCTTGACAAACAGTTCACGTTTGAATACGTTACATCGCAGCAGGTCATGCCAGAGAGGGAATGGAGAAGAGTGACAATTTTACAAGCCTGATGAGCAGTTTGTGATTTATTTCATTTGACTCGCAAAAGAAAGTTGTGCGTTATCTTTAGCTTTATATACTTGGCACGGACAGCTGCTTAGTGGAGACAACTCTTTGCTTTAGCTTTGCACAAATCTAAAATTCCCGGAATGACAACTATTGCCAGGCAGAGCAATTAACTGGAAGGCACTCTAATTCTGAGGCCGTGCCAATATTATTATGTTAAAAGTGTAGTTTTAAAATGCATCATAAATTGGATTTATTGCTAAAGCCCCAAAGAAAATAAAATGTCTAACCGGTCACAAAATTTATGCTAGGTCAAATGTCGTATTCATTTGCAAAAATTATCAAATGTGACAATCTCTAAACTATTTAGCAATCAAAATAAATTATTTTAAAAAACCCACCTACTTAAAATTCTTCTACATTTTAATGCTTAGAGTAACATTAAGCACTGACAAATCATACAAAAAAAGACTTCAGAGATGTAGGTGATAACCTTGCAAAACCTAAAACATTAAAAACAACTGACATCAACAACACCAACTATTTCTCATTTTGAATAGGAAAATACTTTCATTCTTGGTACATACCAGATTTTTGAACATGAAAAGAAGCTACTAACAAGTAGCATCAAGTTTGATGGTACACAGAAAATAACTTTACTGGTCAGATAGCTCTCTTGCCCTTATTTAGAAGCCAGTGGGGTTTTTTTGTGTGATAAAAAGATATGTGCTTTTCCAATCAGCATTCTCCCAATACTGGAGGTCACTCGGAGAACGTCCCCAAGTACAGTTGCTGCAAACCAGCCATTTCATTCAGTTGGTACGTTTACACTCACAGGCAGTGAAATGCATTCGTGCGTATACATAAATGTGGAGGACTGAGATTAAAATTTAGCAGTGTATTTAAGAATCCAAAATAGAGCAAATTAACATACCCAGGACGAGCAGCATCTGCTCGGGCACACTGATGTACAGAACTGCTACACTGCACAAAAGGAAAGAAAGGGAGGATGGAAGAGTTGGGGTCTGGGGTTTTTTGTTTGGGTTTTGGTGAGGGTTTTTGTTTGTTTGCTTTAAATACTAGCTCCCTAATGTCAAAAACAAGAGCTTTTGGTGAACAAGAACTCTCTCAGTCTGATTGCAGCACGCTTCCTCTTCCCTTCCAGCCATCAGTGACCATCTCCTCTGGACAAACAGTCCTGCCAGAGCAGTTTCAAACAAAGGTGCATGCCCCTGGCAGCTATTTCTTTCCTAGCACCACAGTTTCTATCTAGACATTACCATGTCACCGCTGAGGCATCTGCCTCCTCCTTAGCTCCCCAGTTCTTCTGGGGAAGAAGTGTCGCAAGTTGAATGCGAGGACAGCAGGTCCTACACAAAGCTGCACCGCTGACTGTAATGGGGGGATAAAGCCTTGGCGTTTTGCTTTCTCACCTGTGTGGGGAGGACCTGTGTTACTACTGGCAGTTTGTTTAGCCAGCAATTTAGTCCTTTTAAAAAAAAAAGCTTCTGATTACTCTTATTTATACAGAATTTATCCAAGTTGATAGCTGTGCGCAAACAGCTCCTTAGAGAACCACCTACGGTCCAGTAAGGTTTTGCAGTAAAACACAGTATCACAAAACACACAATAAAAGGTTGTTTGTGAGGCCCAGAAGGCATTTAGCTGGTTTTGTGCTGCACAGAACCCTGCTGATGAGCCTGCACAACTCTGGCTGGCTCGTCCACCACCACCACCTGGATACCTCAGTCTCGCCTTCCTGAAACCAGGAGCAGTGCAGAACGAAATGCAGAAACTAGCAGGTTGACACGCACTTGGTTCTGGCCCCAGGCCAACCTGGCTGGACACAAGATGACTCCTGCAGAACCACAAAGGTATCTGCCTCATGCTCTTCAACATTTCTGTTTCCTAGAAAATTTGTTAGCTCTAGCACAGGACTGTATGAATGCTCAGAGCCAGTCAGGGCTGATCAGCCATCCCAGAACCTTAAGCACTGGGGAGCACGTGCCAGAGACCAGCAGCACAGGACCACAGATAACAGTGAACTAAGTGTATTTAAAATACACAAAACAAGTTTTCCCTTCTGGACAATAATAAGCATCTTCACAATTAAATATTTTTGTAACTGCAAGGAAGATTTGCAATACAAGAGTAAGGGAAAAGAAAAGCCTCCAAAAGACTTGAAATGTTTGAGGCATTTATCTTCATTTATTTTACCAGCACTTACTGATCTGCTTTAGGAAGCTCATTGAAAATCTTTTGTATGACTTCCATCCGCTTAAATCTTTCCAAAGATAGTCTTTGCTGTGGAGAATCTAGTTCAAGAAACTCTCTTCCTGTCATCTTGAAGTCCTGGATCATAAGGAACAAACAAACAAGCGTAATCAAAGTTACACAGCCCCAGTATGTACAAGTAAACATTTAGACTCTTTTGGCACTATGCAATCACAAATGCATTTCCTATTTTTCATGGCAGAGTTTTCAGATGCAAAGGGCACGATCCAGCTACAGAAGTCTATGATATTTATGACTACATGAACCCTGACAAACTGCTTGCTTTAGTGATACTGCAGCTGTGGTTTGACAACTGATTAAAGCCAACTTAAGTACTTGCTGTGATGAAAACAGACAGTCTCACTCTCCAGCTACTCCTGCCTGAGCACCTCCAACCCTGGGGTCATACAGCAGTTTGGATCAAGAAACCCACAGATGAAAACTGCCCAGAGGAACAACGGGCAGTGTACTTGTTTTTTCCAGCTGGATAACCTTCTAACACAGTGATCTCTAATGCCTGCAGCACAAGGGAGGATGCTAACTGGACAATAGCTTTTGGCAATACTCCAGGTTTAAATTGACTTAACTGTCAAATAGAACCATAAAAAAAATAATAATAAAATCCATACTTTTTAAAGATTTAAAGAAATCATGAAAATATCTACTCTGCTTTTATATTCCACAAATAGACTTTTTTTTTTTTTGGTACTTTTAGCCAGAGACACATATCAAGTCAGAAAGCATCCAGTTGTACAGGCTTATGCTAACAGGGGGCTGCAGGGGTGGCCTCTGTGAGAAGGTGCCAGAAGCTTCCCCCATGTCAGACAGAGCCTGTTCCAGCTGGCTCCAAGAAGGACCCACTGCTGGCCAAGGCCGAGCCCATCAGTGACAGTGGTAGTGCCTCTGGGATAAAGAAGAGGTAAAAACTGCTACACAACAGCAGCCAGAGAGAGGAGTGAGAAGATGTAAGAGGAACAACTCTGCAGACACCAAGGTCACTGCAGAAGGAGGGGCAGGAGGTGCTCCAGGTGCCGGAGCAGAGATCCCCCTGCAGCCTGTGGAGAAGACCATGGTGAGGCAGGCTGTCCCCCTGCAGCCCATGGAGGTCCATGGTGGAACAGACATCCACCTGCAGCCTGTGGAGGACCCCACATTGAAGCAGGTG